AGTGGTGAAATTACTTCTTATTAGGCAATTTGTTTATGTTGAAAATAATTTTATTTCAGTGAAAAATATGACTTCAAACAGTCTCATCAAGCTTTCATGCCTAGTACATTATATTGATGACAAAAAAATATTATCCAAGGCAGAACATTTTTTAGAATGGGGTAATGTCACAAGCTTTAATTATATACCTGATATTGGTGTACTTAGTGGCCAAGTGCATGCTAGTATGAAAAATAAATCGGTAAAATACTTTTGAAATGTTGATTGTATGTTTTTAAAATAATTGTGATTCATAATTTTTAGATATTCTTCATAGACGAGAATATTGATCATGCCAGTTGTACATGTCCAACAGGTTTGACAAAATGCCATCATATGGTTTCACTTCTTTTACATGGGCATACAAATATATCGGTGATTGATATAGCATACAGTTGGTCAAAAAATGTGCAAAATAAAATTAAGTAATGACTATTGATGATATGTATCCAAATAATTTTAAAGCTGTTACTAATACCCATAATTATAATTTTAAAGTCTTATGCTTTGATAAATTATAGACAGCTAATCAAACGGTTGGGTTTTCGTGGTTATTAGTCYAGAACCTTTAGTTGAAGATTTTAGTGAATTTTTATTCTCTTAGATTTGTCACTAATAAAAAGAACAGTAATTAATGTCAAAATAATATTACCAATTGTGGATTCACTAGTTTTAAATCTAAATGCTAAGTCTGGGTAGGCTAAATTCAATATTAATTGTATAAAAGTCATGAGAATTTGGTCTTTTAGACAGAATTTTTCAACATTCTAACTAAAATTAACTTTGGTACATAAATCCACGGTATAGAAGTTTTCTACGCCACTCTGAACAAGAAAACAACAGGTAAATAACTTTTTAAAGGCTTTAGTTAATTGAATTGGTGTAGGTGTTATGCAGTCTCCAGATTGTTTTCTCAACGATCCAAAAAAATTTTCTAAACATTCTTGMCTTATTCTTCTTGTGTATATAAATTTAAAGTTATTTTCTTTTAAAATTCCCCACAAACCTACTAAAGAACCAATACTGATTAACCACGAATTTACAAATTTAATGTTATTAGTAACATATTTTTCACCTATCATTTTTTAATTTTCTTTTTGAATAGTTATAAATTTCAATTTTTTTTAAAATTCATGCATTGCTAGTAAAAATTTAATTTGGGAGTCACTACCAGCTAAAGCTCTATTTAATTCTTTTGTAGTTGCAAATGTTGATGAATTAAATATGTCAAACAATTGATCAAAATTTAAGATATACTCTGATGTACCTAAAGCATTATGTGAAAGATTTCCTGAAGTTACACTAAAATTTATGGCAGCAGAAACACTATGACTCAATACTTATGTCGCTAATTTGACCTTCATTTTTTCAGTCCTCAGAAGGTAAATATGTGATTTTGTAAGTTTTGGAGCCAATTTATTAACATTATCTTTTTCAGAATGGTATATCGATTCAATWTATTCCCAGTCAGCAATCTTATTATCAAAACGTACTTCATGATTCATTAAATTATTCCTAGCTGCTTTTATAAGGTGCGATGTATCAAAAAATAAAAAACTTTTTTAAAATTATGTAAAAAATATGGTCTTTCAGGAGTAATATG